AAGGAAATAGTGACGTAAGACGCTGAGATTTCACACTATAGTAAATAAAGGTTATGAAGGAAATCTCAATCAATCCTAGAAAGAGCGATAACAGTGGGCGTGAGAAGAATATTTTTGCTGAGAAATCTGCTTTAAGAGATTTTATAAATATCAAACAAGAGGTAAGCTAACATTTGTTTAATGAAAGCTCAAAGTTTCTTGTATGGAAGAGGCTACTGAAAGCATTGACTCTTCCATTGGTCAGTATTTATAGGACGTATTACGAGTAGAATATGGAAATGAATCATACATTATTTTAGTATGCCTATTACGCACTAGAACAAGCCTTACTGATATTATTATAGTTACTGAGAGAAAATAGTTACAGGTATAATATCGTTTATACTATTTACATTATTCGGATTATCATCCTCATCTTTGTTGCTATATTTATCACAACGTTTCGGTCGTTGTACGCTCCGGCCTCCTTCAGGTGGTTGGGATGTTGAACTGAACCTTTTATTTCTCTCGCTGGGGTGGACTGTTCTAGTTCCACGTGCCATGTCTAATGGATGTCAGTTATCAGTTATCTCCGGTTAATTCCCCTCTCCAATTTCATCAACCGCCTTAATCAGGTCCTTGAAGACACATGGCGCAGTGGATAAAGGCGTTAGATAATCTAGTGACAGGACCCAAAGATTGTGAGTTCATTTTTTTTTTAATGTATAAAAACCTTTACGTAAGAGACCGTTATCATAGTTTCTAGTATTGATGATAATTTCCTACCTAACCTTTTCTTTAAGGTTTTATGGAAAGCAGCATCATGACATGAATTAGATTCCCTCAATATTCTGTCTTTAGGATAGTTCTCGTGGTAAAAATTGCAAAGGCTGGAATATCAGTTAGTTAAAGCAAAAGATAAATTTCGAGTCGATTCTTGGCAGGCCAGACAGCCATAATTATATTTCTGTCTAGATATTAGCTTTCAAAGACTTTATTTTTATTTAACTGTTGAATAGATAACATGTTGTCTTTGGTCTGAAATTGCATTATTTTTTGTTTATGACTTGTTCTAAAATGTTTACTGTTTACAATATTCGGGCTATTGTCCTCATCTTTTTCCCCAGGTATATCACAACGTTTCGGTTGTTGTAAGCTCCTGCCTTCATCAGGTGGTTGGAATGTCGAACTGAACCCTTTATTTCGGTCAATGGGTAGACTGTTGTAGTTCCACGTGCTATGTCTAATAGATGTCAGTTATCTCCTGTTAATTCCACTCTGAAAGTTTTCCACTGCCTTAGCTGGGTATTGAACTCATACTCTTTGGGTCTTGTCACTGGATCTAACTAACGCCTTTATCCACTGTGCCATGTGTTCTTGAGAAAAGTCTACCACAGTGAGCGAAATAATGGGTTCAGTTCGACATTTCAACCACCAGAAGAAAAACGAGCCTACAACGGCTGAAACCTTGTGATAAATATGGCGACAAATATGAGGTCAATAGTCCAAATAATGTAAATAGTGTACATAATACCACATCTCAGAAAGATGGACAGATACAGTAAAATGTATGTTCATTTCATTTATTACTATAATCCACATAGTTTTGGTACTAGACCACATTGACGATGCACTTATTGATGATCGAACTCACTACTCGGTAGTAAATATCTTCGGGATCTTTTTGCTAATCCCTATATTATATTGAGGTGCCCTGTTCTTTGACTGCTAATAATTAGTTGATACAATTTATCTAATCAAATGTTATTAGCTGCAAGTATGCTGCTTGACAGGAGGGTAGACTGGTTAATATTGATTTAGATAATAAGTTAAGAACGACACGGACGATATCCAACATCAAATATTGAAATTCATTTGCACTAGTTTTGCTATGTTTGTTTATATCATATGCAGATTCTATGTAATCTGATGAAATAAAAAAGCATTCTTCAGTCCCGCGACCAAGTGCGGTCATAGAGTCACTGTGAAACTGAGCACCTGAACGGTTCCAGCCACATATCCGTGTTGAATCACGGATATATATCTTTTTCTCTCATCGACAAATAGAACGAATGATGTCCTTCCCTGTACAGATCGAACTACAAACGATTTCTTTCAACTTGAAAACTTGGGAACGGAAACACAGACGTTGCTCCCATCAGAGAAATGCACCGGCATATTGAAAAGTTTAAGGAAGACAATTGGTGAATTGGTGTAATCTACTAAAAGATTAAATTAACAATTCTAGTGTCCAATTTAATTATGTACTATTATAAATTAATCATACCAGATGAGGTAAATAAAGTAGATCGTTGCAAGAATATATAACGTAAGAGATCGTTCGTCAAGCAATATAAGCCAATATTTAACAGATCAATAACCGGTTTTCATCCAAAGGTTTCACATTATATATTCCTGATTAATCACACCTTATGTAAAACAAACTGATTAATACGAATGAGTATTATACACTGAAACCACCTAAAAGCAAAACTCGACAAAATATTTTCAGAAGAGATTGGAATGCTTCAGCACGGAATTCGCAAAACACATTATTCTTTCATGAGCATGTAACACATTTACAGACACTACAAAATAATGACTTATTTTTCTGTTTCACTAATATTCTGCATTAAGATTACCATTTCTTGGAATATACGCAGAATATTCTTACTGGAAAAATAAATTATCTGGAAGACTACAAATATACTTGCAGGAATTATTATCTTGGAAGAAATCCCAAGTGTGCTGAAGTGATCTGTACTCGCAAAAAAAGGATTTCCTCGCAAAATTGCGATAAGTATCTCAGTTTCGTGAGGAAATACATTTTGCTGGATTTTCTAAGTTGCTTTAGTTGAGATCTTTTTATTACCCTGCCGGGAATTCTGGAAGTTTAACCTCCTTCAGTAAAGGCATAAGTTAATAGTACAAATCAGTGAATGTTATTATTCAATTGCTAATACCAAGAACAAACTATGCTGGAACTAATGTGTAGTCCGCTTCAAACTTTTAGAGGGAATAAAATATTTTAAAATCAGGAATATTTGCTTGAAGCAAGAGAAGAACTCATTACAGTCGAATTAGATTTCCGTCGCAAATTTGCAAACATTTTTTAATAAAAATTTTATTTGTGAATTATTAGTGTTTTAATTTATAATTTACCTGTATTTTGTGTGTTGTAATAACCACCTAAACATGTGATTCTTCATTTTGAGGTCATTATAGTTTTTGGTTGACAAAATCTAAAACCGTTACAAAACATAAAGATTTTATCTGATTAGTAGACTGGCAAATATTGGTTTGGAAACCAATCATTCCTGCTAAAATCGTTCGATTAGAAAATAGTTACTGCATCGAGATCTAACTGTACTTAGAGATGTTGGGCTCAGATTTATTGGAATGAAATCAACAAAAAAGTTGCGTCATGAAAATATCTTGAAATACATAAAAAGATAATATTTTTGTATTTTCTTGCCTGCAGGCAAATGTGCTTAATAGTGTATATTTAGATTAAACAGTATGCCTTGAGTTTAAAACTTTGTTTTCTATCTATCTATCTATCTATCTATATCTATATATATAAATATATATATATATATATATATATATATATATATATATATATATATATATATAGTTAGTTTATGCAAAACTAGGTAATCCGCATGGGTAGACCCAAGGAGGATGATATCCGGAGAGCTCAATGTAAAATTCAGAGCAGATATGTTTGAATAAAAACAGACCACTTTAAGGTTCCATGTAATAAGTTATTTCACCACAACCCCTTTAACAGGGCTCTGGATCACTAGACTTTACTTCCAAAGGTTGAAATGAAAAATGAAAAGAAATTCACACGGACCTAATTTTCTCCTAGTAATAATTTATCCAAATCTCTCCTCTAATATTCTCCAATTGGAAGTGAGTTTAAATAACACGGATGTAAAGTTTAAATTGGGAATTTAATTTAAATTGAAATATATTACCCCTTAACAATTAGTATTGACGATAAAGTTATTTAAATTGGAAGAACCTTTGATAATTATGTAGGTATATTAAAAAAGTCACGCGTTTAATTTATGAACAAAACTCAAACGAATAGATGTCAACTGAATAATCAACTAGAAAAATGTATGTGTACAGATATATAGAACATTGTAAAAGAAGGACCTAACTCTCTGGTAGTAATCCATTATCCAATTTTCTTCTCTAATATTCTCCAATTGAAAGTGAGTTTAAATAAATAATACGGAGGTAAACTTTAAATTGATAATTTAATTTAAATTGAAATATAATACCCTTTAATAATCATTATTGATGATAAAATTATTTAAATTGGAATAACCGTTGATAATGAGGTACCTAAAACAATCACGAGTTTATTTAATTAAAGAACAAAAATCAAACGAATAGGTGTCAACTTAACTATCAATAAGACAAAAGTTTAGAAAAAGATTACTAAATATAAAATGGATTACTTTTTCAATGTACTTTCTATGAGTTTTTCCAATCGATTGTCTCATAGAAAATACCCAAAACTCCAACGAACTTCAAATTAAATTCTTCGTAGATTGTCTAGACATTTCGATTTATATCAAACCTTAACCTCCCAAATATACCCTTTAAAGTAATGTGAATTAACAGCGTCTAAGAATTGGAATGAAACTTGACCTCGTGGAATGTAATTTATTAGGGTTGTTGTAGCTTCTTCCTTTAATGTCGGTCTTCTCACTCACCCCTTACCCATCTATATCTAGAGAAAATACACGTTAAGTTTAAGCGACGTCTAGCCGACACACAGTGGGGTTAAGAATAAGGAACTGAAATGGTACATCAAACCCACTCATATATTCTCTCCCACATCACTTTCTGACTTCGTTAATTTTACATATGCTTGATGCGGTCCGTCAAAAACGTGTGATTTTTTTTCATTTTTCATTTCAACCTTTGGAAGTAAAGTCTGATGATTCAGAGCCCTGTTAAAGGGGTTGTGGTGAAATAAATTATTACATGGAACCTTAAAGTGGTCTGTTTTTATTCAAATATACATACATATATATATCTATATCTATATATATATATATATATATATATATATATATATATATATATATATATATATCTGTTCATTATCTATCTATCTATCTATCTATGTATCTATCTATCTATCTCAATCTGTTCATATCTGTGTCAATCTGTTCATATCTATCTATCTATCTATCTATCTATCTATAACAATCTGTTCATATCTATCACAATCCGTTCATATCTATCTATCACAATCTGTTCATATATATCTATCTATTTATCTATCTATCACAATCTGTTCATATCTATCTATCTATTTATCTATCTATTTATCTATCTATTTATCTATCTATCACAATCTGTTCATATCTATCTATCTATCTATCTATCTATCTATCTATAAAAGTATTTAATGGGTTTCAATCCGACTTAATTTCTTATTGCAATATAGCCTCTGATCGAAAACTTGACGGTTTCAAGGAGCGTAGACCCTACTCTTAACCCAGGTATACCCTGGCCCAAGGTTGTAGCTTCTGTGACGCTTATAGCTATGGGTAAATAATGAACCACCAGACAAAATATTATTATAATAAAATGTCCAACAATAAAATTTTATAGGAAAATATCAATTAATACAACATTAAAAAATAAAAGTACAAAAATTGTTGTAGTAAAATTAACAATAATATATTTTAAGAGGTACAAACTATATATAAAAATACATACTTTTACCTTGAAAGTATATAATTATGTACAAAATACCTGTAGTTTAAAGCATAAAATTACGTAAAAATATTTACTTTTCGGCATTAAATTATCCATATAGGTTGATGTGATGCAAAAGAAAATCAACAAACCGATTTATTGCCATAAACTTCGTATTCGTGTGATTTTTTAAACGTTGTTAGATGTTAATTTCACTGTTCGAAAGATAATAATAAAACTGAGATGTCTCTTTAACACACCTCTAAATTAAACTAAATCTATCTATCTATCAATCTATCTATCTATCTATCTCAGTCTGTCTATATCTATCTATCTATCTATCTATCTATCTATCTATCTATCTGTAAAAATGGTTTCGGAATAATGAAACCAAGAATTCGGGTGTTCGCTGTTATATATCAAAGACGCAGAAGCTTTTAACGGATTTATTGAATAACGATTCAGAAAAAACACACTAATTATTCATTCGTTCTTTCTTATGTATAAATTAAACAGCAGTTTATAACGGATATATTAAAAAGTCGTCGAGTTAATGGAACTCTTTCAGTTTGAAAGGTATGCCATCAAGATTTCAAACCTTTTCTCTTACGTACAATCAAGACTTCGGAAGAAAGTTTGGCTAACATGTAGAGCTAGATTTCAAAAGCGTACGACCTCATTCTTTAACACTTGGAACATTCTGTATTTTACACCCTCCGTCTCGTTGAAAGTACTGCATGGGCAACGGTCGATCTTCCACAAAACATTTACCATCTTGGGTCTTCAGCCTCAATTCAATTCAGTGAAAGAACAGGAGCTGAACTAAAACTTTGCAACGGTAAATACAGGCTCGCCTGACACTGACATCGTTCACTGAAGTGAAAAATGGACACGGATGTCCGCTTAAGGTCGGGGAGGAATTGAAATATAAGTTAAAAAAAAAAATCTTTGATATCCGCCCCCTCCCCTACCAAACTGTAGTATAAGTCCAGCCTACCCCATAAAATTTGATAAGTATCTGTCGTTGGCGACGGAAAATTGAACATGTGTGGAAAGTCACTTTGGCCATGCTCGGACCCTGTAAGAAATGGTAAATGTAGTATTTTTGAATGATACTTTTCGTGTAGTGTGCTATGATTGTAAATTCTTTTGACACAAGTTAATTCTTTCCTTTTCAGTCCCCGTTTCTTCTTCTTCATTATTATTATTATTATTATTATTATTATTAATAATAATAATATTATTATTTTTATTATTATCAACTTGAACATGCAAACAGGGTAAGGCAGAAGTACCTCCACATATTCCTCCCAGAAATAGCTCTAACATAATGGTATGACATTAGTGGCAATGGTGTCTTCATCTATGTAATACATTACAAGTATATGGGTGGCATTTCTGAGGGAGATACATGGGCGGTGTTTATGCTGCATCTCTCTCACTCTCCCTCTCTCTCTCTCTCTCTCTCTCTCTCTCTATATATATATATATATATATATATATATATATATATATATATATAGTAATTAAAGGAATAATATATATATATATATATATATATATATATATATATATATATATATATATATATATATCATATTATTATTCCTTTAATTACTGGAATAAAAAACACAGAAGATGAACTTAGGAGAGTTTATCAACAACTTCGAGCCCAAGCCTCGACACCTTATCCGAAAATTTGAAAAATAGAATGACAAATGAAAAAAGTTTATATATATATATATATATATATATATATATATATATATATATATATATAGTCTTAAGGCATAAAGTGCTCAATATCAGAGATAGAGCGTGTGTAAATATAAAAGTTAGGATTGAAGTCAACACTTAGAGGCGACAGTCTGTTTCATGCTAGACGCAATTATCAGGCTACGAGTCCTGTTCTTTTTTTCGGTTATTTATTTATATACGGGTCAGTGGTGCATTGTGGGTTATCCATTTTGGCGGATATTTTTACGGAAGTCGTTTGTTTATTTATTTATTTGGATTAAATTATTTTGTTTGTCTTTATTTTTATTTTTTTATTTTTATCTTTTATTTTTATTTCTCATTTTTCATATTTATCTTTTTAGTTTAATCAATCCCAAAATTGAATAAATTGCTTTATCTTCCCTTACCAAAACAAAACTAATAGATGGGCAATATAAACAAATTTTTCTTACGTTTTTCTTACGTTAATAAAACACCGATTAAAATAATAATAAAAAATATAGATAAGAAATAAAAATAAAAAATAAAAATAAACAAGCAGAATAATTTACCCTAAATAAATAGACACATAAACGACTACCGACAAAATACCCGCCAAAATAAACTACCCACAATGCACCACTGACTCGTATATATATAAATAGCCGAGAAAAAATAAACAGCACTTGTGGCCCGAAAATTACCGTTTGTTTGTGATCTCTGATTTCTTTTTGCTTTTTCAGACTGCTGTGTTGGACATTACGCCAACTTTTTTTTAACTTTATTTGCTATTCTGAAGCCCGTCTAATTTGTTGAACTTTACCCCTTCTATTTTGAACGTCATTTTTGGTTGAGTTTGGTTTTATTACCGTTTTCTTTTACGACTGTTTGAAAATCTTTTTGATTTTTTCTTTTCCATCCTCATTTTTTAATTGTTACCCCTTTCATTTTTGCTCTTTCTCTTTTAGTCTAATTTTCCTGTTTCATTTCCTTTATTTTTTCTTTTAAAATATATTTTCCTTTTCTTTATATTTAATCCTTGTCTGTGTTATTCTTGATTAATTTTAATTTCTCGTTATTTCTTTAATTCTTTTCTTTTAATATCCGTTAAGATTTTCTCGTGTATTGTTTTTATTCTGTGACTTATTTGTGCTAATCTTTGTATTGTCTAACTTGTGTAATTATTTTTGCTTTTGTTTATTTGCTTGATTTATTAGCGTCAGCCATTTTGTTTTTGTAAATAATTCCGGGTATTTTTGAAAGTTACGTATTTTTTATTCATTTATTTTTTTGTTTACTTTTCCTTTGTCTAGCGTTTTATTGTTTATTTGCTTGAACCGATTTATTAGTGTCAGCCATTTTGTTTTTGTAAATAGCTTCGGCTATTTTTAAAAGTTTCGTTTTTACTTTTTCTACCGTTTTATTGTTTATTTTTATTAGCGTCAACCATTTTGTTTTTCTTAAATAGCTCCGGCTATTTTTGAAAGTTCCATATTTTTTTTGTTTTACTTCTTCTTTGTCTTCTTTGCGTTTTTTTCTTTAAATTTATTTGTTTCGCCTTTAGGCGAATTTTGTGCTTTTATTTTTAGTCTGTATTTTTGCCTTTACGTGAATCTTGTTTTTAACTGTTGTCCTTTGTAATTTGTTTTTCATTGCAAAAACTTTTTCGTTTATTTGTTTTTAAATTTAATTTTGCTGCTTCGCTTTCTGGCGAGTTTTTTTCTGTTTAACTGCTATTTTTTTCTCGCTACTAGGCGAACTTTGTTTAAGTTAAGTTTTTCCCCCTCACACACCGGATTTAGGCGGATTTTTTTTAACATCCCTTCCCTTCCGCATTGTATTTATTAAAAAATGGAGAAGAAAATTCTTCGTCTTTTCTTATTAAAAAGAAAAAAAACAGTTATCCCTGATCTAAAATAAAGTCATTTAAAAAAACATTTATTTGCAACCAAGTAAACAAAGACAAAGATGATACGGAGGAGTATCATGTTTTACCTGGTACTTCTCAAACTAAAAACGTGGAAAATAACCCCCAAAATGATTTGAAAGCCAATAATGGCAATAGCTCTGGAAGTATGGAGGCCAATAATGGCCAAAACACTAAAAGCATGGAGGCTAATAATGGCCATAAAGAAAGTAGTATGTAGGCCAATAGTGCCCCAATTAATGACAAAAATATGGAAAATTCAGGGGCCGCGGAATCGCCCTCTTGTTGGATGACCCCACCTAAGTGTATAATCAATATTGCGGATTTCTTGGAGCGAGCCAAGAGTTACGCTCACCTTGTTGTAGAAGGTGGACTCCTGAAAGACCCCCAGGAACTAAGAAAAAATGAGAAGCGAATAGTGCCAATCTTCGTCGTGGACAAGCGTACGTGCAAAATTTGTCGCTAGACGAAAGACACAGTGATAAAATCACTGGAATCCTTGGAGTTCAAGCCACTTAGAGTTTTAAAGGACCCGACTTTTTCATGTGGGACGTATTGTTACCCACACCGAAAAATTGCGTTGCGGCTTAGTGCCGAGAACTGAACACAAAAGATCTGATATTTCGCACTGGATAGTAAGGCCGAAGAAGGAACTGTACCACAATATATGAGGTCCCTCCTCAGGTTTTCGGGGAACATCTCGCGGCGTAACATCCCCAACTGTCTGGAAGGAGGAAAATTGAAGTTGAAAACCGGTATGCTGGAAGTGTGGACTGACTAGTAAACCTCTCCTCTTCCTGCCCAGAGAAGAAAGCCTCTGGAATTCAATCTCCTGTTGATCAAAATCCCCCTCTGACCGCGTCTTTACCTACCGCCTCTTCTGTAATGGGCAAGCCAACTTCTGGAACCGGTAGGAATAACCCTTCGGTTGGCGAAAAGACCACATTCCCAAAAGAGCCTTCGTCCGCTGTTAGTGCAGTTGCGGAGAAGGGGAAGGGGGAATGGCTAGTTGCTGGTAAGGCCAGACAGCGGGTCCTCAGTCCCCTGAAGCCCCAAGGACCAAAAGCACTTACGGCCCCACTCCCTCTGGCAACATTGAGGGTGATGACACGGCCTCTCAACTAACGTTAAAGGAAAAGCGACGCAAATCTGACCCCGGTTTTGAGAAAACTGAAAAAAATCATAGAACTGAAGAAGAAATTGGATAGCCAAAGAAAACAACTAGACCCTATTCCTTCAACGTCCTCTGTTCCACCCACCCCTTCAGCATCCAAATCGCTTCCCCTCAGTAGAGATCCCAGCTTTTATAGTCACAGATCTTTCTATACCCATACACACCTCCAGTCCTTCCCCCATTAAAAAAGACCCTCCCACACCCCTCTGCACACTCGTAGTCCTTACGCCGTGAAAAAGACAGAAATCCCACCACCCTCTGCCAAACGCCACAGAGCGAAATGTCAAGAAGTCAAAAAGAAAACAATTTACAATTTGGGAGAGGATGTTTGCTGCATCTCCCCGGCTCACCCGGAAAGTGCCAGAGATTATGGCAAACGTATCAAGAACTTACGCTACCTCCTATCAGTTAAGCAGTATGCAGACCTGGATGTGGAAGTACCACAAAATTTCCCTCTTGCACAAAGGGTTCTAACAGTCATTAGAACCGGCCCTGGAGCCAAACAAATATGGGCGATGTTGGACGAGGCCATCATGTCCTACAAGATGACA